CAGCCAGCCATGCTGGCTGGGGAATTCTGGGAGTTGAAGTCCACACCTCTTCAAGCTGCCAAGGTTGAAAAACACTGCCCAAGAATGCCGTGCTTGGTGCCCACCAAGTTCCCAACATTATTATTACTTTTTCGACAGCAGCGTTTCCCAACCTCGGTAGCTTCCACACGTATGGACTTCCACTCCCTGGATTCTGCGGCCAGTATGATCACTGAAAAGCATTCTGGGAGCGGAAGTCCACACACCTGGGAATCGCCCAGGTTAGGATGTTTTAGAGGTGCTGGCTTCTCTACCCCTGGGGTTGTCCATTGGGAACAGCCATTCTTTACCGCCAAGCACCCAGCGTTCTTAACTGGGTTTACGAACTGCTTTCGCTGGTCCCTTCTACGGTGCCGTGCCCAAACCATGATGCGCCAAGCCTGTGGCCTGGTACATACATTACGCTAAGCCAAGGCGCAAAATGGTTAGCTATACTCCACAAAAAGGGCCACGTTCACGCCCAGGGCAAAACCAAATCTGAGGAAGCCGACCCATAATGGGACGCAATGCACAAACCCGCACATCAATGCAAAGGTTTTAACGTTCCTCTGAAGAAGGTGATCGACTTAGCGCCGCAGCGCCGTTCTCAGGGTAGCACTGTCGATCTAAATGAGATTCCGGCAGATTCCCGACAGCATTGTTTGCTCACCTGATGTAAATGTACATTGGTTCAAACGCTTCTCGACCGGAGGCAGGTTCGATGCAGCCCGAGCCCTTCCCCCGGAGGAACACCTTGGCACCCGTTTCTATCTGGATGTGCTGCAAATACGAGCACCCCGGGCCTTCAACCTTCTCCTTAACGTTGAAGGTGGGGACGGCATGTTCCAAGCCCACAAACAGCTTGTCTTGGACATAGTGCATCTGCGAAGACAGGCATCCCCAACGTCACCCAGGGAGACTGGATTCTCACAACACATTCCCAACTCATTTGTTTTCTTTTCTGTCTATTTTTTTCCATGGGGGGCCTTGGCAGATTCTGCAAACCCAGTTTTGTGTAGCTGAGGAGTCAGGGGCCGCGTTCACACCCTTAACTCAGACCGGATTGGTTTAGGTTCATTTGGGATTTAACGAACGCAGGCAACGGGTTCATCCAGCAACAAGGTTAAGTGTGTGTTGAAGATCCCATAGACCATGTTGGTCTCTCATTCCCCAAGAGAATCGCAGAGAAGAGGGATGAATGATACGGCCCTTCTCTCCCACCTCAAGAGATTCCCTAGAATACTTTCCATTTTTGGTTTCAATCTTCCCTTGTTCTGAACGGGGAGGAATCAAAAATGCACAGGATGTTGGGCCGTCCACCACACCAGAGGGTCTCCTCTGGGGCTGGTGGGTGATTTCTCTTGAAGGAAAAGCAGGAGGTATTGTTGAATGGCGCAGTGAGGTCTCTGCTCTCTGTAAGCTGGACCCCTCTCTCCATTGCATTTCTTTAAGAGGATGGTATCAGCCTAGCCCTGCTCAACAGGCCAGGCCTTCTTAATCCTCTAGCAAGAGGGCTCAGATCGAACGGACACAGGTCACTGACTGGGTGGGCAACCTGTGGTCCAAGAGCCAAACAGAGCCCCTTAAAAGCATTTCTTCCAGCCCCCCAAACTCTGACAACACCGCTACATTTTGATTCCTTGAATCTTGCGGTGGGAAGCCCAGAAAGTTGGCTTAACATTGTTCAAGGATGGAAGAAAGAGAGAGAGGGGG